TCCATGAACATCTCACTGTTTTCCTCTCCCAGTATCAGGAGGGAAAGAGCTGTGAATGCCTTCATACAGGCAGGCAAGTGGAATCTGAGAAGAGGTGAGCTCCATCATGGCTGTAGCCCTGCCTCTGCCCTCAGAGACAGAGATCCAATCATCCTATAGCTTCCCAGGACTGTGAGACTGCAGGGTAAGTGTGAAGGTTGCAAATTCCCAAACAAAGCAAGATTAGGTCATGTTTTTCCCCACTGACATGTCAGAGAATGCTTTCATAGAAAATCCATGACTTACAGCCTGTTTATAGGACTTCAAATCCTCTCGATCCTTTGCAGGCTAGCTTTGTGTGCCAAGTTACAGTAAAATTAATCTAGCAGAAGTGAGCAAGTTGTTTGGAAAGAATGCAGGCACCTCCGAGAAGAGGTGGCAAATATGGGTCACTGATGACCAATGGAGGAAACACATAAGAGCCTAAAACTGCCCTTATTAGATGACATACTCAGATTGTATTCAGTCTCAGTGGGCCAGCTCTGACGTATATTGCATTCATGGGAAGCTTCCTGAAATGATTCTTGTGGAAAATGTTTCAGTGGAACATCATTCAAGTAACCTACTCAGAGCCAATTGCTGTGATCTGAGCCTGGATCCCTAGCTCTAGTTCATAGGATGGCTTCCCAGAAGATTCTGAGGATGATCAGCCCCAGATAAATATTTTCTTAAGTTCTCTTATACAGAAATGTCAAAAACATGCTAAATTTTGACACTCACAACCCCATGTTGATTTATGATGCCTAATAACAAATATATTGTCCATAGTTCTTCAGGGAACGCTGTCAATTACACATAATCTGGGGCAGCCATTCTCAACTTTGGGGGGGAGCTACAGCCATAAACACAATATGAAGACAATATAGGCCAAATCAGAAATATATAAATCACATAACGAACCTTATAAGCTGATCTGTGAAGAATTGTTTCCAGTCTGTGGTTCCCTTCAAACGTGTCAGCTCCCCTCCAAGGGGCCATATGGCCGCATTGTTTGTTTTAACGTTCATCAAATTTCCCTGGGTTTCACATCTGAATACTGATATATGCATACAATTTTGTACTTAAATTGTTAGCAATTGCAATTAACTACGGTTCTCTATCATGTTCTAAGTCTACTGTATTGTGCCTTTTCAAGTTAGTAACACTATCCATTTAGTTGATTTTTTTTCTTCCTGTAAAAATCAGATGCAATATCAGGTGACTGATGAAAATAAGTATTTACCTATCTGTCTGTACATCTTTCTGCCAATCAAGCTACAGAAAATCAAAGAGTTAGCTTGTGAAAAGGGAGTAAAAAACCAACAAGGTTTCTGCTTGTGACAAGTGTTAGTAGAGAACAGAAAGCAGGGAATAATTATGGAGTAATTGTGAGCTCTTGAGACTGTCACGATTTAGAACTTAAGCTACAGTTTGAGAAAAGTACTTTTCTGATGCAATTCCCAGATATCGCCTGCCAGCAGTGATCATGTTAGCTGGGAATTCTGGGAGTTTCATCCAAAAATGATATTTTCCAAGCTCTGATATACACTTTCTATCCCAGCTTTCCGTAAACTGATGTCATTGATAAAGTGCTGGACTACAATTTACAACATTCTCAGCTGCAGATGATGAGAGTTGTGGTCCAACACATGAGGTGGGTGCTGTTGCAGAAGGCTACTCTAAACTTCTTAGAACATTCTTTGATTACATTGAGGAATGTTCCCCCACTACACATTTTTGGGCATCCTCCGATAATCCCCCGATAATCTCTGTTATACTAGCTATAGCATACTGTGGTGCTGTATCGCAAATTTCAGTCAAGTTACACAGACCAGGGGTAAAGCTGCATATACCTATGCTAGTTGTGATGGACCTCCCCCCTAATGAAATTAAAAAGTCTTCACCAGCCTTATATTTACAAAATCAAAAAGGCTTTTACTCAAATCAAGTCCTGGAGAAGGGATTTCACATATGCATGCCCATCATCACATGATGATTACTGCATACGGTTGGTGACTTGCTGGCATAAAATGCCAGCACTGACTGAGCATCCCTGAATTTATACCTCCTATGGAATAACATCAAACACTGTTGTTTGCCAAGAGAGACAACTCACACATTCCTCAATGAGTCATTGAGCAATGCATTATCAAGAGGTGCCCATCAGTACATAGTACATGAGTCAGTTCTGAGAAATATTGAAGTCCAACTTTTAAAATATCTCAGTAGACCTAAGAAAAGGTTGGATCCACTGTTAATCATTGGCAAGTTCACTGAAATAAATGGGAACTAGGTAAATTGCATGTGTTTTATTGGGTCTACTCTAAGTATAACTCAGTCTCGATCCAACCTAACTATTTATTATTAAGATAGCACTTTGAAAGGGTGGGGAATTAAGTTATGTATCTCTTTCTGTGTGAAGCAATCTGGGGGAAATAGTTTTTAAATATGTTGTAATTAAGCAAACCACCTGGATACAGTGGAAGAAGGATACAAAGAACTTTGGGTATTTTTGGATGGCGTTGCAAGGCTCTTTCTAACCATTATGCCCTAACGGGTTCCACCTGCATGTATGCCTACCCAGAACTTGGAAACATTGGCAGTACAGCTCACATGGCAGAATTTAACAATAACATGATATCATGTGAACTAATTTTGCTAATCTTAAACATTAAGAAATTCTGCAGGTTTATTAGTTAATCTATTAAACTGTTGTATCATCAAATATTTTAAAAATTGTTTTAAATGATGAATGGGTGTAAGAAGAAACATTAAAATAATGCAATTTCACTTTAGAACCAAGACAAAACAACAACATTTTAATTTGTTGCTCATGAATTTATTGACTAAATGAATTATTTCCAGCTTTTGAGCTGGATTGCTCCATTCCTCTAATGCTCATGTTTTACTTTTTCCCATAAGGACAACTGATGACCTCTTAAATAGGGTGAGTGTAAAGAGAGACCACATGGCAGCTGGGTCTCTTGGCTGTTTCAGGTGGCCAACACTGGTTTCCGGTGTGCAGCGAATGTTACTGTTTCTTGCCTGCTTGCTTCATCCAGCAGACTAGGGATGGGTGAAGTTCAGACAGCCTTTCCTAATCCAAGAATAGTCCAGAAGCAGCCAAAGCCATGGTGAAATTGCCTCCTGTGATCGTTAGACACCACAGGGGAGATGTTCAGCTTTTTAAAAAGTAAATAATTTGGGATGAGTGGGGTAAAACGGCAGCAGCTACAGCCCTCCAAGGTCCAGGGTAGATATGTGTGTCCCCCTGGACTTCTGGAACCTGCCCATCCCAGAAATAGTCCATGACAGGAATCACTGAGAATTGAGCCTGTTCCTTCTATGATCCTACCAGTATAATCTACCCTGACTTCCATGTTATCATAGTCTGGTGCTAGATTATTACTAGGAGACTGGGAACTGGTTTATATATAACTGATAAGCAATACACTGTGTACAAAAATGTGCAGAAGCATTTTATGATGTTCACTGTTCTGATGGCAATGTAAGGATTCCATTTTGTATATTTAGAATGGCTCACGATGGCAGATCATGAGGAGAGACAGCCAATGACTGAGATGAGAACTGAATCTTCTGAATCTCTGCCTAGGTGCTTTCAGAAAAACAGCTCCCAGAACTACCAATAAAAAAATATCATGCAACTATCTTTCTCTCAATATTTTCCTGTGGAAAGTAAAACAAAAAGACATACCATATTTTTCTGTGTATAAGACTATACTTTTGTCTAAAATCTTTAGACTAAAAATTGAGGGTCGTCTTATACATGGAAGTAAGCTGAGGAGAGAACAAAAACAAGTGGAGGGGAAAGCAGGGATCCAAGTGATCCTGCAGGGCTTTGATCCCTGCTTTCCCCTCCACTTGCTAAGCCCCACTTAGATTTCTTAATTTTGGGTTAGAAAAGTGGGGCGGTGTCGTATACGTGGGCGCGTCTTATACACGGAAAAATATGGTAATCGTGCAACACTGTGGGTTACAGATAAAAGATGATGACTGGACTACCTCTAAAGTTCTGTGAATGAAGCAGGGTGATTACACAACAAATGTCTTAGCTGGAAGCACCCTTATTTAGTGATGCAATGGCAAATTTTGAAGTCCGGGTTCAATATGACTGGCCCCAAAATTTACTCATTTCTTACTTGCTTATTTTATTTATGTGCCACCTTTCTCTCCATAGGGGGACCCAAGGTGGCTCACAACAATTAGAACTAAAATAAACTATGCTAAAACTATTAAAATGTATAAATGTTAAAACCACAATTAAAAACAATTGTAATAACATTTAGAAAAACATTTAAAAATCATTAAATTCAGTGACCATAACCACATCCTAGAAGAATCTGAAAATGCAATAGGCTGTGTTGATCCATATCAACAAAGCCATTCTAGCAGTTTTCATCTCCAAAGAAACATCTCTTTTGTAAAACCAGTGAACTTTAACTGCCCATTGAGGATCAAACCACCACAATACATTGCAACAGAGGTAGCTTACAATTATATATTGTTGCTGGGAGAAAAAGCTGACCCTTCATCTCTCAGCTGCTGAGATTGCAACTATGCCCCAGGGAGGAAGGGAAGCCCACACATTTGGGGTGGCGGAAGAGATTATCCTTCCCAACTAGGGTAGCACACGATTCTCCTTTATTTAATTTTAGCCTTCAGTTGATACGGTCCAGAGTGAGCCAGAGTACCAGTTAAAAGACAAGGGTGACATAGATGAGGCAGGTTCATCTACCGTGATCAAAGCTACCTGAAACCTGGAGCCAGAACCAGTCCTCTTATCAAAGTCAGAAAGGACCCATTTTTTCAAGATCACAAAAAGAATAATGACTAGAAAGGGTTGATAAGAGATAAATGTCCAGTTTCTGGTGTGAAAACAGGAAATTTTTGAAGACATTTGATTACAGTCACCCATTCTGGCTAAAGTTACTGTTACACAAATATAAGAGGGACACATTTACCTGATTTCAGGTGTTGGAATTCCTACTACAATGCAGTCCAACTGGACTTTGGTTCCTTCAGGGACCTCCCTGCTCTTCAGTTTTTGAGTAAAACGTGGTGGCTGGCCTATAGGCTCCTCAGAATAAAAAGATGCGGTGGATGACTCTGTTGTTAACCCTGAACTTTCTATTGGACTGACATCTTCCAAGTCTGCCTGCTGAGAGTTATCTGGGTTTTCAGGGGAGTGCACAGCTTTATCTACATCTTGAGGTACTGGAACGCAAAGCCTTTCTCTGTTTTCGGACAGATTTGAGAAAGCAGCATTACTGTCTTGGGCCACCTTATTTTTAGATTCAAGTTTGCTCTTGTAGTTTTTGCATGTCCTGGGTCTGATTCTTTTGGAATTATGTGCTTTGAAAAGAGAAGAAAGCTCCTCAATGAAATCAGCAGCCTTGTTGAGGAATTCCTTTTTCGACTCTGCCTCCGAACCCAAGGGCTGTTTTTTTAGGCTGTTGTTCGAAGCTGGTGATCCCGTAGGCTGTGGTTTGCTTGAAACAGTATTTCCAGAGTTTTTCAACTCAGATGGAAAAAATACATGGATTTCTTGTTCGTCTGTTTTTTTCTCCAGTGGCTCTTGATTAATAGCCTGTCTGGCCAGGTTCACACTCTCATCCAACTCTTCCTTGCTTAAAAAGGCAGAAAGATCAGGAAGTTCATCTTGTCCCGCCACCTCATCGGAAGTCTCAGGGGAGGTGCCACAATGCAAAGAATGTGGAGATGGTTCTGATCTACTCCTTTCACTATTCCCTTGGTGGCTGTTTTCAGCTAAATAGCTCTCTCGCAGTAGCTGAGTTATTGAAGTAGAAGGTTCTGAAGTATTGTCTTGCATGCTGTTGACAAAGAGTACAAATAGGACCATAACCTCATCAATAGTAAGTCTGTTGCTGGTTCTGAATTAAAAGAGGAGAACAGGAATGTTTCTAACCAGGCAAATTGCTTCTCTTTATGTTAGGATTTGATCCTTATCATGGATACGCTGCGGAGTTGGCAATCAGAGTCTTGGGCTGGGACTTAGGAGGTGCATTTTCTAATCCTTACCAAACCATAAAACTGGGTGCCTATCAGCCACTTTCTCTCACTCAGAACTTGACATATGTCACAGGATTGTTGTGAGAATATAATGGGTGGGAGGAAAATCATATATGCCTCCATAGGTTGATTAGCAAGAAGGTGGGATATGCATTCTGGAATGAAGTAGGTGCCCTGAACTGATCAATCATGTGCTTTCCAATTTTTTTGTATAAACATGGCTATGGGAAATGTCTTGATGAGCTCTGTATATCAAAATTTATCACTACAGCACTGTTCACAGAACTCCAAGGAACTAGATAAAATTACTCCTAGAATCATCAGTTGGCCACCTCTAATCTATACAAAGGTCTGAAATTCCTTGTGTGGTGATGCCACCCATTCTACCCATTAGAGAGAGAGAGAGAGAGAGAGAGAGAGAGAGAGAGAGAGAGAGAGTTTACATAATTTACTTTATTTATGCACATACCAGGGTAGAAAGGGCAGAATTGCTACACAAGGGATTACTGGAATCAGAATAGGCATGGAGAGGAGATTTAAACACTTCAACCTCCTACAGTAACCTGAGAAAAGCCACTCCTTTGACAATCTCCTGAGGAACAACTCAATTTACAAGCAAATAGTTCTTTAGGTCACAGCAGGGAAGAAATTGTTGAATTCCTTTGCATACTGGCTCCTATTTACAACTCAAAGCATGGAAGCAACTAGTCATAAATAATAGTTAATTATAACTAATTATTTTCTGATAAATCATGTGTAATTACATTATGATTCTAACTTGATGATAGATAACTTTGCTCACTCCTTTTGCAGTGTAACTGCAACTTTTAGTTATTTTTAAAAGGGGAGTGGCTGTTCTTAATTATAAGACTGGAATGGGAGATGTGTGTGTTGCACCACAGGACAGCAGCTTGTAGCATGGGAACTTTAAAAAGCACAAAGTTATTGTTAAAATTATTTTAAAAGTAGCCATAATGCAGCAATGGATGTCCATGGAGAGTGGCCTCTGAAGTATATTAGACATATATGTATATGTCTAATGTCTATACGTCTATATACTGTATGTCTAATGTCTATATTAATGTATGTAGACAGATGCTCTGTGCTATAGTGGCTTGTACTTTGTGTGAGAATTATGTAAAGACACCACTGTGCAGCTCCTCGCCCCCGTCAAATTCTGTGGATGCTTTTGACAGCAACTATTTGGAATTTGTGTGAAATTATAACTGTAACTGGTTCCTTTAAAAACATAACTTTCCATGTTCTGTCGAGAGAAACACTTTCCAGGTTGTTGTTGTTGTTGTGTGTGTGTGTGTTTTTTTTTTTAAAAAAAGTCCTGTAGATTATATGCAAAGCCACACATCACATTGTGTGTAGTTTTGCCTTGAGTGTTTTTGAATGAAGGTCAGGGATCCTTGGTGGAAAATAATACGTCTAATTCAAGCTCAACGCTCTGATGCCTGCTCAAGAGTGTCAAGACGGCCAGTCAGTCCCTGCAAAGGGGCAGCTGGTTTGCAGAAGACTGAGAGCTTTGTGAGAAATGTTGACCAGCTCTACAGTACTGCTGATTCAAAAGAGCATTCTTGAGCCACGTGAGCAGTTAAGTGTAATGCAGCCAGCTGGGGGCTTAGATATAGAATTGAAACCACATCAGAGGACCCATGGCTATGTTAAGTATACCATCTCAAAAAAAAAAAATCAATGCAGTAGACAACTCTGGTGCTGTGTGTGAGGTTAACAGAAGCCCTACATGATATAACAGACACATGGGTGCATTAGGAATAGATGCTATGGAGACTTAGGCTGATGTGCTCTTGTCTGGCCTGTTTAAAAGTTGTGTACATGGAAAGATTTCCCCATAGAGATCAGGCAAACGCGGGATCTCTCCCTTGACAAAGAGAAACCTATTTGTTTGTTTGCCTTGGCATTTTCTTGATTATTCTTCATATGACTGTTCTGCAAGGTTCAGCAAATGGTTCTATTGTATCTTGCTTTAAATGTAAACTGCTTTGAGAATATCAAACTTAAAAAAGCAGTATTAGCAATATTAGATGTTCCTGGCTTAAGCAAGCAAGCAAGCAAAGGCTAAAACAGTTCAGGGTAGGGAATGGTTTCTGCCCCTTCCATCCCAAATGCTACTGGACTTAAGTCCTCATCTGTCCTGGCCATCATGGCTCATGATTGTTGTAAGCTGCCCAGAGACCTTTGGGTAGTGTGGGCGGCATATAAGTTAAATACAGTAAATAAATAAAATGATGAAGGATGAGTGGAGCTAAAATCTAACAACATTTTGGAAAGTCACACATGACCTGTTCTTGTTCTTGTTCTAAAGACTGCATGAGATGGGCCATAGACACCACTGAAAATAATGTGATACAGTCATTCTTGTTCTAATGGAGTATAGTTGTTGATGTCTCACTGTGATAATGTTCAGTCAAAAAGGAAACCAGAACAGCATCCAATGCAAAAGAGACAAATTTCTAATTAATTTAAGTGTAAGCTAATAAAAGGTACATTTATATGACCTATGGCATTTATTTCAAGTTTTAATTTTTATACAATTATTAATGCATATATATTGTCCTCTTTTTAAAATCCCTGAAGAAGGCTATACAAATATTTTCAGGGAAAAATGCTTTGAAATAAGAATAATCTCATTTTTTAAACATCTTGAGACTTTGTCTCTCTTTTTACAAATATTTTCAGGGAAAAATGCTTTGATATACTTATAAGAACAATCTCATTTTTAAAAACATCTTGAGACTTTGTCTCTCTCTTTTTTGCATTGGATATAATATTTAGTAAAAACGGTTTTAGCAGGTTTTTGAAGCATCACAATAGGAGATGATGTTGTGTGTTATACTATCTGCAAAATAATCCAAAGTACCACAGCCTCTCTTCACTCCATGTCTGGAAGTCTATCTCAAGTATTTTGCTGCTTCCCTATCATACCTGCATATGCAACTAACATCCTCAGCCTGCACAGAACCTGCCCCACTAGAAATGCCTACATTTTACTGGCGACCTCTCATCTGAACATTTCATACACAGGATTCAGTGTGATGTATCAGAACATTTGGATGAAAACAACAAGAAATTCATGAGTACAACTCCAAACATCTGGCAAAGTCTTTATTTACTGATACCCTACATTTCCTCAAAGGACCTCCACGGTCCTCTCTCACCTCACTGTATCTTCACAACAACCCTGTGAAGAAGCTTAGAGAAGGTTATGGGCCCAAACTCCCAGCTCTGGGACAGAACCCAGATCTGAATGTGAGCCTCCCTGTTATATACACAGGATCAATAATGGGAAGCTATTAGAACGATCAATCAATTTAAAATCTCAGCTCATGAACTCATCAGTTAAAAGCAAATTAATTTGGATGCTATGAAAACCAATTTAAAGGAGCTCTTTTTAGACATCATAGGAAGTGATATCAAACCATTTTACAATTTAATGGCCTTTTAGTATGGTCCAGTATTAAGGGCTATTTTAATCTGTATTTAAATTCCATATTACAGTAATGAATTTGCACGAAAATTGCTCCCCAAAAAGCAATTGCAGCCTTAACCTGTACCCTATCAACTAGTATTTGCTGATAGAAGTTAACCCCTTGAAATCAATCAATTAAAGTTAGGAAAAAATAAGGAAATTAGTTCATCAATGTTGCTGATCAACACTTTAGTCCTACTAAATGCATTAATAATGATTAATATAATATAAGTATGACTAATATTAGAATACTGAGTCATCCAGTAAAACTGAGTCAGGACTCAGAGAGAAAGGCTCAAGTTCTTATCTTAAACTGTGCCTAGTTAAATGGGAGGATTTGCAATCACATGTAATGGTAGCCACTAATGGATGGCTTTGGGGAAAAAAAGGTTAGATAAATTCATAGAGGATAAGGCTATCAGTGGTCAGTGGCAAATCTATACACTTTGCCACAGAGAAGGTAACAGTCTCCACTACCGTCTTGCACTCTGCAACTGTGAAATGTAAGCAAAATATTCTATGCAATGCATTCTATCGTGCATTTTAAATTTTAATATTTATTCATAGTGGGGCGAGCAGATATTTGTCTCATTTAAAATGCTAACATTTATTAATAATGGGATGAGATTCCCCCTGATAAAATGAAAACCATTCTTCTTCTGCACCCTCAAACTCATTGCCATCATAATATAATAAAAACTGCTGGATAGATCACTCAGTGGTTTAGGCATCTGGCTGTGGAGCCGGAGGCTGGGAGTTTGATTCCCACATTGTGCCTCCTTAACAGGGGCTGGATTCCATGATCCATAGAGTTCCCTCCAGCTCTGCAGTTCTAAGATGATGGTGATGATGATGACGACGACGATGATGATCATGATCATGATCATCATCATCATCATCATCAAAAAGTAGCCAGGTTGTCTTGCTTGTTATTCAGCTTCCTGCTCTGCAAATTTAACAAGCAACTAAAGAATGCTGTCTCACCTTTATTCAAAAGGGATGCTTGGTTGTGTACAGGGAGAAAAGGCTGCAGAGCTTTCAGAACTGTATTTTAATATTTAAACTCATTTTTTTCAGAGACATTTTGCTGCACAATCCAATCCACCTCCCTCACACAAGCAACAGCCATCTTATACATACACTCTATTAACTCACGTATATACATGAATGCACATGTGCAGGCAGATGCACAGACACATACATGTAAGCACATGCACATACTCATACACCCACAAATTCTCAAGGCCACATATATAATCCTCCTTGTTTTTCTTATTCTATCCTCTGAAAAATCCTATAAGGTAG